ACTTATAGAATTTTAATAGTAGTGGAATGGCCAAAGATTTTTATAGAGAGTACTATGTAAACTTCTTTTTTTACTAAATAAGTCTCTCTTTGACTACTAATTAAAGTTGTAGAGAAAGTTCATGCGGTTCTAATGGTAGTAATATCGCTAAATTTGGTCTGGTAAATCATGAAATATCAATGATTTACGTTTTGCAATCATATAAAATTTTCTTCGCAGATCTGCAAAGAAATTTCATATGATTGCGAAACATAACTCGTTAATATCTCATGATTCACCAGACCAAATTTAGCGATCTTACTATCATTAGAACTACACGAACTTCCTCTACAACTTTAATTAGTAGTCAAAGAGAGACTTACTTAGTAAAACAGAAGTTTATATAGTACTTTCTGTGAAAATCTTTGGCCATTCCTACTACTATTAAAATTCTATATGTAATGCCTACCAATTTTTACTATGATGCTTATATGATGCTTATACCCTTTAACAGTGAATCACCTCTTAAGTTATTTAAGGGTGTGGCGACTTAGTGAAGTGGTGAAGTTGTTGCACCCCAAGCGGCAGAAACAGAGTTCGAATCCCACTAGCAACAAAAAATTCGAATTTTCAGTATAGTGTTACAGCAGACTATGTATAAAGGGACAGATCGACATCTGTAATCTGGTTATACCAGCTCGTATTGGGAGGTTGTGAAACAATAGTATAATATATGAGTTATACGAAATCTAAGTGAAGTGGCTATATAAATTCAGAGTCAGTGTATATAGGAGCCTGCTTGGCAAAACCTGAGTAGAGAGGTAGCACAGATTTTCAACAGTACTACATAAAGGATTATTAACTGGAAACTGAAGAACTGAATAGGACTGAAGTGTTTGGCAAGACACTTTACCAACCAGGTCGTCGAAGAGTAACTGGAGGAAAAAGACCCAACCGTGGAGACCAAGAGCAGGTCACAGCCCCTCTAGACCATTTGAATTAGAAGTTTGGGGCGATAAGTATATAGCGGATAGTCTGTATAGTGGGTGCTGGGGTCTGGGTGAACTCTATAAAGGTATAGTAGATAACAGTAGCAGCTTTGGCTCACAAGTACTTGGTCTCGGCCTAGAGGTAAGTTATTGAAGTAGACTAGGTAATATGGTATAGTGGGACCGAACTGCTCTAGCAGATGATATACTCGAGGATGAATTAGTTAACTATGCCAGTAGTCCTATAGGTGGCATACAATGATCTTGGAATTTGGACTTACTTATGTATCATATATTCTGGGTGAGATTAGATAGATTAGCAGGGAAACTCAGATCAGAGGATTTAATTAGATAACTCAAATAATAGTAGGTTATAGGTATGACATCTAGTATAGAACCTAATAATAGGTAGATACTTAATTAGGCAACAAGTATGGCTAGAATGTATCCTTGTCAGAATATACTTGTCTGGGGTTCTATTGAAAAGAACACCACATGATCCTATAAAGTCTAATAAAAGTGAAAAGCCAAAAAGGCTAACCTTGACTACAAAAAAAAATTGTTATTTTATGAAAAAATCAATTTAACCAAATTTGTATAATTACTAATTTTATACAAGTATAACATTACACAATTTTGTGTAATATTAACCATTTCAACAACTATTGCATAGAATTTTATAAATTTTTTTTTATTTAAAAGCCTTAGATTTATCACTGTTTTCGAAATGGTTGAGAATAGCAAGATTTTCAAAAAATATTTTTTTTTATACAAAAACCCGAAAACCTGATTAGTTTAGAACGATGATCGATTTCCGATTTATATAAAACTCAGGTAATTGTTATCAATAAACAATTACATGATTAACTCCTGTTTATTACAATTGTCTGATAGTCAATTTATAATATGTCACGTCATATATGTCATAGTGATGTCTGCAACTCTAATCATAATACACTTCTTTTTTTTTTTGACGTCCCACTTTTTGTTGCAATATGCTTTATTTTTTTTGACAGCTAATCTATGCGATTCTGTAATGATAAATAACAAATTAATCTACATTAAACAGTTATTACAATTACTGTAGTGCACTAACCAAAGTATCTCTCTTTTTCAATATCCCTCTTGAGCAAAGTACCCGGGTCTTTTGGTCAGTGCATTATGGTATATAAAACTGTAAAAGCATATATTATAACTGTTAATCTAACACACTTTTGTTCTATCTACCAACAGTAACTACAATGCTTTTAACGCAATACGATTAATAGTTGAAGGTTTGAAGCAAAAAATCGAATAATTACATCTGAGCTTTTATAGTAAGGTAAATTACTTTTGCATTACTAGACATTATATCAAAATATTCAATTGAGTTAACTCTTTATTTGTTTTGTTATTTTTTATATTTGAACATTATTACAATAATGTGAACATGAGCCAACTTGATGTTGATGTGATTAGTTAGTTATTCATTAATAATTAACGATTGGCTAGTCACATCAAGTTAGCCTACAAGTCAAGAAAAACGCATCTTATTACAGACAGTTTTTTTTTTTCAGGCCTACTAGTATTCGCATTTTTATTCTGGTCCCTCATATATAAGAAAAAACGTATCTTATTCGTGAGTTTAGGTGTTTTGTTTACTGGTATTCGCATTCTTTCTTATACAAGAAAAACGAATCTTATTCATGAATTTAGTGTTTTGTTTTGTTTACATAGTTTTTTCTTTTCAAGATTACTGGTATTCATATTCTTTCTTACATACAAGGAAATGTACTTATTCATGAATTTAGCCGTTTTGTCCACATAGTTTTTTTTTTTTTTAGAGTTACTGGTATCTGTATTCTTCTTTATATACAAGAAATACATCTAATTTGTAAATTTAGGTGTTTGTTTACCAGCTTAGTTTGGTTACTAGTATTTGTATTTATTATAGTAGTGTTAAATACTCATATTAACTTACTAACACAGTGTTGGATTCCATTTTTTACAGTGTGATAGCATTTGTATACATATAACACAATTATGATATCTTTAGAGGGTTGGTGACAATAATTAGTATTAGATGTCATAAAACGTTATAATGTGATTTAAACTTATTATATAGAATTTAATAAATTCATTCGTTGGATTTATCAGAATTATATTTGGCTCACAACTCTTATGTGTAGATTTAGGTGTTTGTCTATAAGCATGTTTGTTTAGAGTTGTTGGCATTTGTATTTTATCATATCTTAACAGTATCAATGTGTTTTTTTATAGTACAATGGCATTTGTATGTTTATAATTATGTTACGTCTTTAATAAATAGAATTTAATATATTATTAAGTTTAAACAATTAATTTCGCAAGTATTTAATTACAACTTTGTAAAGAAAAAAAAAAAAAAGTTGTTTTACAAGATTGGTGCATGTTTTTTGTGCCAGAAGTGCTTGTTCTGTTTTACTAATTTCGCTATAGACTTATGTGAATGTGACACTACCATAAAGCCTTCTCATACATCTTCCCATCTTCGAAAATTCTTCAGTCAAATCTTTGATCCTAATACAACCTCAACTGATCAACAACTATTTCTTCAAAGTTATAATCGACTTCTTAGTTACAACTGCAACTTTAATACAACATTTAATCTTAGTTTTTGCCCGCATGCTATTCACAGTATAATCGTAAAAAGAATTAAAAGGTAAAAGTAGCGATAATGATAATTATGACGATGATTACGCTGATGATTACGCTGATGATTACATTGATAATAATTTTTCAGCTTCAAGCTCTTCCTGCTTAGAAATAAAAGCAAAAACCATCATTAAAGTTAAAAGTTCAACTCCAATGCCTGTGAAATGGTTTACCTTCAATGCGAATAACTTTTATATATTTAATAATAAACTTACTAATTATATTCATAAGTGTATTGATGATGTTGATATTGATAAAGATGATATTAAAATTTCTTATAATGTAAATGGTCATGGCCAAGAAATGGCACTAGAGGATAATAATGATTATGCTACTTTTATAGTTGAATGCAAAAAATTAAACAATACAACCAAGCATATAGTTTTGTATATTACGCTCAAATTATCCGATGATAATAATAAAAAAAGAAAAAAACAAAAAATAAGGTATAACAAAAAGGATATATAATTGTGTTTAAAGCTTTCTATAAGTTTGCATTTTTAAAATAACATCTCAAGATATTAGTATTTAAGTTATACTTTTAATAATTATAGGATATAATTGAAGTTGAAGATTCCGATGAAGAAAGAGTAACCAAAAAACTAAAACCAAAAAGATAATCGCTTACCAAGAGAATCGAGACTTTCTTATAACGAAGTTGAATTGGCTAGTATTATCTCTCAGCTTCATTCTAAGTACCAATATAGTATGCATAGCACTCTGTGCTATATAGAGAATAATCTGCATCTCCCCCTTACACCTCCACATCTTTATCTATAGTCTAGAGATATAGTTAGTATAATCTTATTTTCAGATATATTTTAATGAATACATATTGATATATATAATTTGATTTTACTTACATACATAGAAAGCCAAAATTACCGATATGAAAACACCACCCACATATCCAACTTTTGGGCTAACTAATATATATAAACCCAATACACGAATATCATGACAACAATCACAGTCTACTACTACAGACACATCTAATTTAATTTCAGCTCTTCATGAATGTCTTGAACTTCTTACAAATGCTTTGAATAGTTCAACTGGGAGTCAATAATAGATTTTGTAGCATTATTTGTGTTCTGTATGCATTTATATAGTCAAATAGGTAAAAAAAAATATTAATTTGATAAATACTGCATAATGAATTTACTGTAAAAGATCGTATAAAAGATCCCCCATATATTAGATCCCTTATGAATTAGACCTGTGTATGAATAACAGGATCTCTATTAATAAATGCTTATTATAAATACAAAGTATACTTTAGAATTATCTTTGCTACAATATAAACACTTAACTGTATACTAGACCGGGTCTACTATAGGTGGAATGTAACAGACCCAGGCAGTGTTGTAAGGGTTACTATGTCCAATTGCTTTCAAATAAATTAGATATATGTCTAATTGGTTTTGGACCCAGGTATATATCATAGAATAAAATTTGATTATACTGTTGTTAAAGAGCAAATTTAAATTAAAAAACATGAATTTAAATAATACTTATTAGGGTTAAACCAGATATATAAGTTTCTAATTATCATGTGATTTATAACATAATGATTTTTTAAATAGTGAAAAATTAAAAATCATATGTATTTTATATCACATAATCATATAAATAATATTTTAAAAAATTGATCTAAAATTGATCTAAATTATTTGTCACACATGATACTATATGCAGCGGGTAGTATATAATACTATAATACTGTAATATATAAAGTTTATTCAACATAACCTGATCTCCTAAAAAAACCTGTTGCCATTTCAGGAGTTATTTGAGTACATGCGACCATTAGCACATGAAATGGATCTGTTGCGTTTTTCACAAAATCTCTATTTCTTTATATCCAGTTTTTAATGATACCAAAGGCCGTCTTAATAGTGTTAAAGTCCGGCGAATACAGAGGTAAAAAGATTATGTGACAGCCAAGTCCCTCTATCATATTAATGAGAAATTCATTATGATGAATTTTTGCATTATCGAGAATAATAATGCTGTTTTTTCCAGGAAAAAGATTTATAATAGGAATCTATTGTTGAATATACATTATTACTCAGGGACTTTATTATAATGAGAGTAAGTTATATTTAATAAAATTTATTAAAATTTAATTAACTTACCACTTGAGATAAGATGAATTCACAAAATTGTTCTTTATTGTAGCTATTTTCTAAAATTTCAACTGCTAGAAAGCTATCTAAAGAAAGAGCAGGTAAAATTGTATATCTTTTTTCATGAACAAAAATTATATTTTTATGTGCACGATGATTTATAGGGGCATAACCGTAATGCCGATTTAAATTATGTTTATCCTTTGCGGATTTATCAAGAAAAATCAACTGGTCCGGATGATAATTGGCCCCTATATTTGCAAGAAAAGCACTTTGAAGAAGCTTATTTCTTTCTAAGGCCATTTTTTGCAGCTAATTAAAATTTAAATTAGTTTTAGCCTGATGACAGGTTTTTTCTTGACAACTCGTATATTAATTAAGTTTAATTTTTAGCCACCTTCTTATGAGAAATACCGCAATATTTCATTGAGCGCCATAAAGATGAAATGGAAAAATGCTTATTTGTCTAGTTTTCCATTTCAATCAAAATCTCATCAAGATACCAATCAACCTTGTCTTTAATTATACGCTTTAGCTGATCCATATCTTGGCCAATAAAAGATTTTTTATGACAAGGTTGGCCTTTATAGGGATTTCTAACACATTCACATTTTTCAAATGTACGTAATATTCTATATAAGGTAGCTTTACTAATAAAAAGAACTGTAGCAATATTTTCTTTACTATACCCATATGCATCTAGGTAAACGACCCTCTATTGAAAATCCTTGCTAAGTTCCTGTAGCATAACTGGTTTTAAGTGAATTGTTATAAATTTAAAAATGTAAGATATATACATATTAGCAAAGTTGTAGAAGATTTTACCTCTATATTACCAACTAATAGTAACTAAACAATTAAATGCTTTTGAATTTTTGTGTGCTAAAAAAAGGGTTCTCATATATTTAGGTATGACACTATTTGGGTTTAAATTTTTTTAAAAAAACTTATAGATTGATTTTATCTAATATATATAAGATTGACAATTTGGCTATTTATTAAAAAAAAATACAAACAGGTGTTCAATGAATGAGTATTCGTTGGCAGTATTGACAAATGTTTGTTCATTAATATATCTTACCTTCAACTATTCTCCCTCCTTTTCTTACTCATACTCCCTTAATACTACTATATTATATTATCATATCCTTTTGTTATATTATTTATTGTATCACATTATAAATAATGTAATACAGAGATGTGACAATTACCAATGAACAAGCCGTTTATCAGCATTGTTCATTCCAACTCTGAATATGAAATATTGTTATCCATTTTTGTACTAATTTTTTTTTATACTAATATAATTATCACTTAAACTGTAAACTTTGTACAGACAATTTGTCTGCTTAGAATGTTAAGGCTTTATAATAGAACAATGAAAAAAATATATATATAATTTCTTGAACATTAGTCTTTTATCCATTTTTAAAACCTATCTTCAAAGATCAAGAAAATCGTTTGAAGGCTTCATGCGAATATATATATATATATATACTGTATTATATGGAGTTAGTAATGGAACTTACTGGGGTTAGAAATTTAGACTACTTAATTGTCACATGTTGCATTATATTAAAACAAAGATTATAGATTTACTTTTTATATTATGATATGTGTAACAATTAAGCAGCCTAAATTTCTAGCCTCGGTAAGTCCCATCACTATATGGAGTCTTTGTCTTGAAAATAATTTTCCAAAACTAGATAGATTTTATAAGTAAGGTTAACTTCATTAGCTATCCAATAGTTTAATTTGAATAACCTTTTTTTTTTTTTTTTATTTTGTAGAGCTTAGTAAGCTTTACAAAATATATATATATATATATAAAATTATTAGATGGCTAGTACATTAGCTTTTAGTTCCAGAAGATCATTACACACATATATTTTCATAAAATTAATAATTTTTTAAAAATTTTTTTTTATTAGATATTTGGAACAGGAGAAAATATTGTTGTTATGCACTGATTTTACACTCAGTGTAAACACATAAAAAAATTATTTTACAAAACTTAATCAGTCTTAATTAGTTCACTAGTACATGTTATGATTATAATCTAACACCATTTTATTATAACAAAAATAGTGTTAGATTATAATCATAATATATACTAGCGGACTGATCAAGTCTTGAAAATAAATTTTTTGTGTTTCACACCGTGTGTAAAATCGGTTGTGTAATATTAACGTTTCCTCCTGTTGATATTTAGAAGAATATAATTAAACATTCAGTTAAGTACAGTTTTGCTCAATAAGATTTAGGCTTTATTAATGTAATTTTTATCTTCTAGATTTTGACTTCGACATTTTAACTTTCATTACTAATGAATTTCTTTTATCATTACTAATTCTAATACTTTGGATATTGAAGATTATGTGTAACTAAAGAACAATCACATACCAGGTGGGTGAAAAGTCTCTATACAGGTCCCTTTTTTTTACTATCTGCTAAGATTTATAGTACTTAATTTTAAATATAATTTATATATATTATTTATATTATTGCAATGATTACTATTTTAGTGATTAAAAAAAAAAGGAACCTGTGTAGAGACTTTTCACCCACCCGGTATATTCAAGTATTAATATTCAATAAAAACCTATACTTTACTTTTTTTTTATTTCAATAAAATTTCTTTTTGTGAAGCAGACAAAGCTATAGTATTAAATCTCACAAGATGCCTTATTATGCTGAAGTTCTCATTACCAATAAGAGATTTTCATAGCTCACTACTAACGAATTTCAGGACTTCACACACTCGGTAATCTTTTTTTTTTTTTTATCTTTGCTACTTCATGAAATATCCTGGTCTTATTCACAAATCCTGTTGTTTAAATTAAATAATGCTGAAATACTTTATGTAAGATTAAATAATACCCAGATGTCTTATATGATATTGACGCCTTCACATGATCTAAATCTGATGAAAAGCCTGAAGAAGGTATAAGAGCTTCAAGCAAAACTGAATCTTGGTGAAAAATAGAATACAAGCTTATGCTTAGATGCTGCTGTATGAAGAACCATGGACTATATGAAAGTAATTTATTAATATAGATTATTACGAGGGCATATATTAGGCTAACATATGCAAACAATACTTAGGTTTTAGTCTAGACGTATGTTTAGAAGATACTTTATACAGCGGCATAGTTTTGATTTATTTTATTTACTTATTTTATTTGTAAGTTTGTTATTCATTAAGTTTTTACATATATTTAGCAGATTATCATTCATTTTAATGGAGATTACAAAATAGGTATACTTCTTGCAAGTTCTTTTAATTATGTAAGTAGAATTAAAATCAAATCGATATAATTTTATTATTATTATTAATTTTTTTTGTTACTTTACAGCGAATAATTATAATCATTATCATTATTATAATTATTCTTATCCTTATCTTTGCCATTATCATCGTTATTATGATAATTATTATTTTTATTATTATTAAAAATTAATAAACACCATCATCTTAGTTTAAAAAATAA